GTAACCCGGCAGCAGCTGCAGCAGCAGCAGCAGTAGTAGCAGTAGTAGTAGTAGTAGTAGTAGCAGCAGCAGAAGAAGCAGTAGTAGTAGTAGTAGTAGTAGTAGTAGTAGTAGTAGAGCAGCAGCAGCAGCAGCAGCAGCAGGAGGAGGAGGAGTAGTAGTAGTAGTAGTAGCAATATAGTAGTAGCAAAGGTCCAAACTGTGGAACACATGGCCTCGCCGGTGCCTCACGCAAAGGACTGCCCCGTCGAACTCCCAAGTGATCTGATGGACCTCCAGTTGCACCTTGGGTCAAGGTCACTGCCCTTTCCGTCAGCCAAGGATTGCCACCAGGTACCTGAGAACCTGCATCGTAGTAGTCGTAGTAGTAGTAGTAGTAGTAGCAGCGGTTGTTGTTGTTGTGGTACGACGTCGTAGTATGTCGTTGTTATCGTGGGCCTCACAATTCATTTAGTGTTTCGGAGCAGAATGTAATTGAATACAGCCAGAAGAGCGTATAGGAGAAAAGCGAGCCGGACGAGACCTGAAGGATGAGGGTGGCAAAAAAGGCGACAAGCAGACAAGCGGAAAAGCAGAAATGCAAAAGCAGAAGCAAGAACACGCAGAAAGCGAGAAGCAAACACAGGCAGAAGGCAGAAAGAACAGCGGAAAAGCAGAGAAGCAGAAACGCAAAAGCAAGAACAAGCAGAAAACTACAAGCAAGCAAAAGCAGCGGGTAGAACGGTAAAACCGGAGCAAAGCATAGAAAATCACAAGAACAAAAGAACCCCTTGAAGGAATAGGCCCCCGTTTGGTGTGAACAGCAGCGAAACAAGACAAGATGTTGTTCCATCATTCCATTTTTGGCGGAGTGTCCCACCTGCTGTGCGGATGCGATCGGAGCAGCGTGACCTAGCGCGACCGACAAACACTTTCAAGATCTGTCGCGGTTGAGTTTCCTTTACAATAGCCTGCTGCAAGTTGTTCGCTGAAGCCTTCAAGGCGCGTATAGCCCCTGGATCTATCATCGTGTCATATCATGTCATAATGTCGTCTGAGTTGCAGCCGGCCGAAAACATGAGCGCCCAGAAAAGCGAAACGGATGGCACCACATGCCGATACATGTGTTTCGAAATCACCGGCCGGCCTGAGCCAACAAAGCCCGCATCCTGACTGCACCGTAGGACCTTCCAAACTCACAACCGGCTTTTGACATTACGCGAACGGTAAAGCGTTCTCTCTCATATACCGAAGGCCGAAGGCTTGACATTCTTCCATGCACCCTTCGCTTGACGTTGATATGTAACGACTTGCTGAGGGCGACCCGACTGTGTGACGACTGCCTGCACCAGCACAGTAAAGCAAACGTTCTTCCGCAAGCCAAAACCCCATGCTTTTCCCGCGCGAATGCCAACTTTACCGGCCAGGTAGATATTTCAATGAGGAAGATCAGCTAGCCATGGTATCTCGGCACATCAAGAAATGGACTGCAGAGAGGCCGCTGGGTGTCGTTCACCAGTGCTTGAAAGAAAACAGTAATTGTTGGTTTTCGGACACGATCCCCCTGTACCGCGGATCCGACTTACCCGTGCCTCCGAGGCACGGGGGGACTTGGTGGCTTCAAGCAGCTCCGTGAGTTCATCGTGCACGTTGAGTCCGGGTGTGCCCTTAGCCAGGTTTCATGTTCCGACCACCTCGCAGAGTTCGTTAACACTTTTGACCAAGCTCGTTTTTCTGCAAGTTCCAAGCTTGGCACTCGATGTGTCTCAGCCGAGAGCAGATGTGGTTTCATGCATTGCTGCAACAGGCTTGAACTTGCACTTTGGCCTGCTGAGTTTCATTTCCGTTGCTGTTGCATTTGTCCAACCTCCAATGCTGTAAGTAAGCCTGGCATTCCATGCACAGGCTTAATGGTAAACGATTCGGGGATCAGGGTTGTACAGGTTTCGGATAGCCTCAGGCCGGACAGCCCAAAGCCCAAGCCGAAGACCCTGAGTGCTGCTCAGACCAACTTACTAGAAATGGGATATCAAAAGCTTCGGCAGCTGTCTTTGGTAGTCCCAGGCCTAGGTGTACATGTCCTGTATGTCCGCCCACGAATCGCAACAGACCCCTTTAGATCACACAAAAAGGTAAACCATGGGAGACCTTCAGCCATCAATATGGTAAGTTCCGAAGGGCTTCCTTTGATTCTGCGGCCACATGCCACCAGCAAGAGCTTCGGCAAACACGAGCCCTGCTGGCTCTGCCAGCAATTGCGATTGACTTTTGCCTCGTCTGCATGGAGCGCAATCTGAGCCCAGGTGTTTGAATCGTGTGTGTGTGTGTGTGCGTGCGTGTGTGCGTGCGCGTGCGTGCGTGCGTGCTTGCTCGAAACTGGCTCTTTGCGGACGTGTTGTGACCTGTACAGCGGGGAACACTGGCGAAGCAAAAAACGAAGCTCGGTCCGGCTCAGTCCGACAAGGCTGGTTTTGAACATAATGTCTACCCTGCCACATCAGAGGGACTTAATACAAAGTTCAGACTAGTTTGGGCAAGAGATTCATGTGGGTTTGAGTGGTTTGCTAAGTGGATAAAGACCACAGACGTGATGTTTTGATTGCGTGATGAACTGAAATTCGAATAACACCAGAATGAGCATGCGACCCGGCTGTCTTGTGAAATGGTTCTGTGTTCGCCAGGATTTCGTCGCTTCACTGAAACGTCCCCGCAAGGTGCCCTGCCGCGTAGGGTCGGCTTTGTGCATGCAGGGAACCCCTCATGACGCAAACACATGATATTGGAGTGCTTTCCCAAGCCTGGCAGTTGAAATCTCTATAATCTGGGTTGGACGTTGCCTCTTCCGTCCTGGAGCTTCGTGAGGCTATCATCCTAGTTCCAGCCGGTGCTGCCACGGATGCAGTGATTGAGGAGAGGATGCGCCGTATATCGCTCCGCATACTTGTTTTGCTTTGGGTTCGGTTTATAGGGAGCTGCCACAGCGCGCCAGGGAAGGCTTGCTGCCACTGCGTCCTATGCACGTTTTGTGACAGATTTCCCCATTGTTTATCCGCAACCTGTTGGGCTGGTATGGGCTGGTTCTTTTCAGATGCGGGAGGGCTGCATGGCGTTGTTCCGCTTGGATTTAGGACTTGGCGGCCCTGTTCCGGAAGAGCCCCTTGCCAGAACTGCCAGCACATGTTGCAACATCGATTCCATGCCTTCCAGCTGTTCTGCATTCAATCATTCTTAAGTTGTCATGTGTCAGACTTCCTTTGTTGTTATTTTATCAACCAGTCCCGAGACGACATCATCATCGACGTCGGCAATGCGAACTTTCGCGATCAAATCCGGAGGCGCAACATTATGCTGCTTTGCCTTCCGTCATTCCTGCAGCGGTCCACAGCCTGAGTTGGCTGCGCAGCTATGCACGCAGCTATGCACCACATCGGAGCAGGGCGGTTGTGGTGGTTGTTGGTAGCGCTGGTCTAGCCAGGACTTGCAGGACAGTTGCCTACTAAAACGCTGCATTACAGCGGATGACTAGACTGCGCCAGTGTCATCTCTTGTTTTCCCGCCTGCAGAGCTAAGAGTTGAGCCGTCGAGCCAGGGCCGAGAGCTTGGAGAAGCGCGGCCTGCGTCTCTCGGCTCGAATCGGTGCGAACTTCGCGGTTTCAGCCCATAGAGGCCTTGTCGCCTCCAACTGAAGCATTTGAAGCATCCTTGTGCAGTCGCCTTCAAACAAGCATGGCGAACAAGGCCTTTGAAGACCCCAGCCTCTTTCTGCTGACGCTGTCCTATGGGAGCAGGGGAGCAGTAGCAGCTTCAGAGGCCATGCACTCCCAACAAATCCCTAATGAGCCCCAGCAGCTAGGCCAGCCAAAGGATTTGCACAGACGACAGTTTGAGCACCTTTGTGCTCCTTAGTCCGATCCAGAGAACATCGTGATCGACGCGCCATCCACATGCAGTCAATACTGTGGCTTTTTGAGTTGCTACCCCCCACCAACTGAGCCCTGAGACGTGGAGGCGCGAAGCGGTGGGAGACCGAATTGAAACGTACAAGGGGTTGTGTTAAGTCGTACAGTGTACAGCGCTGTGTGAAGTCATCCCTTTGTGCGTGGACACTGGGGGGAAGCCATTCTGAACAAGTCCCGGCAATCGGTACGGCGACACAGCTAAGTCCCATCATGTCTTTTGGATCCCAGCACCCGCGACGGTCGCATCACCGAGTCTTTACAGTGACACGGCTAAGTCGCGTCATGTCTTTTGGATCCCACACCACACTGGGGGGAAACCCCCGCGGCGGTCGCATCATGTCTTGTGGATCCCACCCCGCATTGGGGCTAGGGACGTCACGTGCCGGGGGCTTCAGGGTCCCTGTTCGTATTGCCATGTCTGCTCCAGAAAGCCCAAGTCGCACAGCCTGAAACTTGAGATGGCAGCCTGTCTCCTTCGTATATGAGCTGCTTATACGAAGGGGGTCTCGGTCAGCCTGCTTCCCGCCGAATAGAAATACAGGCTTGAATTGGTTTTACAGACAAATACAGAGCTGAGTAGGTTTTCTAGGGAACTACGAATATGTCTTTCGAGAAATACAGTACATACAGGTTCCAATAGGTTTTCTAAAGAAGTACAGGGTTGAATAGGTTCTCAGAGCAAAAACGGGTTGAATAGGTCTCTTACGACATTGCATTTCTTTAGGCGCTGTTTGTCTTGAAGGGGAAGGGCTGTTGTCGTGCGTTGTGATGCCAATGATGTGTCAACACTGAAGTCATGCGCATTCCCGACCTGTTTGATTGCTATTGTTACATGTCTGAAGGCGCGTGGGCATGGTGATTAGTTGCCAAACTGGCAGACTTTTCAAGGCTCCGGGGCATAATTTCCCAAGAAAGCCTGCGCGCGGCACTCGAAATCCTAAGTTGGCGCCTGTGCCAGGAATGGGCTAGGCAGCACGTGGCCATGGGGAAAGCGATGTGCAGCTATGCTTGTGGTGTGACTTCACACGCCCTGGTGTGACTTCACGCATTCCCGCGTGGCCATGCGGTGTCGCGACTTCACGCGCCCTGGGGCGACATAACCCTACCCCTTGTAGCAGTGCGCCGTTGTACAAGTCTGTTGGCTCCCTTCCCCAAGCCGTGTGAAGAGACGAAGAAGAAGAACAACAAAGAGCAATGAGCTTCGGGGATGCCAGCGATTGGGTTTTCCGTCCCGTCCACCAAGTAGAAGTTTCAAACAAGTCACCGCTTTTACGCGACTCAAGGAAAACTGGTATGGTCCTTGGAGCTGATTTCCGATCAGTCCCGTTTGCGGCGTGTTGCTGTTTCGACTTCGCCACTTATCCAATCGGGTGATCAGGCCATTGGCTGACAGGCTGATAGAGCTCTGAATATTCTGCAAGTTCCCTGGCAGTGCCACAAATAGCTGAGATGCTTGGCCTCTTGCAACACCGTTGCAGCTGCTGTCGTCACCATGAGTCCCTGGCTCCTGTGGCTACACCTCGGCGATCATGCATTCAGTTTCACGCGCATGATCTTGGTGACTTTGCCTGTGCAAGGCTTGCGCTTTGTACTGGTAACCGACAAGAGTCTTTGTGGCTACCGAGCTGCTACTGCCGGGTCACACCTGGTTGGAGAGAGAAGAAGAAGAAGAAGGGAGAAAGAGAGAAAGAGCAGGGGATGCAACTGGGCAGTAATTCGGCTCCAACATGCGCCGTTTCAAACTGCTGCCCGTGATAAGGCTTGCAAGGGCTAGTTCATGTTGGTGAGTAGTCCGGTGTCCTGCTGTGTTGACAGCTTGACTCCTGCGGTTCCAGCTGCTGTGTGGGGGACTTTTGGAGTCGGCAACTCCTGTCTACAGTAGAGCCTCGGGGGTCGGAAGCACTGTCGCTGCGACGTTCTGTTCGGGCTCAGGTGGAGAGGCAGGTAGGCAGGGTTAAACCGGCAACGCGTCGCCAGTGTCTGAGTCTGAATTGGCCTAGGGCCTACATATGACTGTCTCCAGTGATTCTAGTGTTTGTCAAGCCTCAAGAGCTGCGGGTCGACAGACAGACCAGAGCGCGCCGTGAGGGGTCGGCCTTCGGGCCAGGGGTGCGTGCTCCCCAAACCACCCGCAAGCAAGCAAGCAAGAGCGAAAGAGAGCGAGAGTGACAAAGTTGCAAAAAAGTTCGTTTTAGCCTTCTGAGTGGAATTAGGTGTAAAGGTGTGAACTTGCTTGCGGGCTCGTTAGCCCTTCTCTGTTCAACCCAAGCAATGGGCCGTATTGCCCGCAATCCTTGTGTTTTTTTAGCTCACCTTGATACTCACAACCTCGGGGAATTCAGGGACATGCCAAGGCCCCCATTCGTCTTACGTTCAAACCTGTGATAAATTTCAGATACCTGTTCAATGTAGCAGGGGACAGTGCACGTTTTTGGCCTTGCAACCCAGTCCTTTGAGTTCCCCCAGCCGATGCTTAGGTCCCCACCTTAGTATTTGTTAGCCTGCATGTACCATCATGTACCTTTTGTCAGTCTTATCGTTGTTGTAATCAGCCGGGGGAAGCCTCTCGTACAGCCTGATAGGCCAGCCGTCACTTTTATCGTTACTTCAGTCTTCCTTGTGTTTGCGGTCTTGTTCACTCACAAACAAAGGGCACGTGGCCAAGGGCCTTCTCTCCCACAGCCGAGCCCTCCTCAGTCAAACTGAGGGGGGATTTTGAAAACCTCCCGTGGACGGCAGGTGCGCGCTCGCGCGCGAAAGGGGGGGGTGTCCGCCCCTTCCTTCTTGCCTGGTAGAGAGAAAGGGAGAGTGACAGAGTTGCCTGGGCCTAGGTTTTCTTGGCATGGGTGTCAGCGGCGGCGCGGAAGGTGCACGCAAGGGGCCGGCATTTTTCCCAGGAGGCGCGATATGATACAGGTTCAATTAGAAATAGAACGTTTGTCCGATGTTCAATGTCGTTCGTGGTTTGTTTGGCACAGCATCCATCTTCAATTCACAACGGTGATGTTTTATGGTTTGCTTGGGTTGTTGTGTAGCGGTCTCTGTTTCTGCAGCATATCGGTGTCGTCACAGTGACATGCTTCTTTTTCGGTAGCTGGGCCAAACATGGCCTTATGCATTTACTACTTACTAACTAGGTTGGATGTTTGCCCAATCCGCTGCGATCTTGCAGCTTGCATTAGGAGTGGCGAGAACATTTCTTTTGGCGAGGTCTGCCAAAGACCACAGACGATCGCCCGTGAAAATGCACGATGTATTCGCGCGCAAGCAAAACATGGCAAAGCAGATGAGCTGAATTAGGCAAGCAAACCCAACACGTCCAACAGCAGTCATGGCAGTGCTTTCCATGCAGTGGGCCGGTAATGCCCACAAGTGTCACACCACGGTGCAGCCCGACTGACAGCTGAATGGTTAAGTGAAGTGGTTCAGGATCGAGCACCATGCATTGGATCGCTCTTGGCTTAGCTTGCAACATGCACAAGTGGATAAAGACAATCGTTTTCCAACCTTCATGCCGAAATCTTCCATGGCCGTTTCCGCGACAGCACGAGAAATTCTAAGTTGCTGCCTTTCTCCCCTTGCAGCCTCACCTGTGCAAATAAGCGGGTGCGTCTCCCACCTAGTTGCACCAGATAAACCCTGCAGAAGCCTCGCCAGAAAACACCGATGCAAGTTCGCCGCGGCGCAACAAAAAATAGCTCAGAGCAGACGGAAGAGGAAATCAGTGCAGAATTTCGCAACTTGCCTCAGCCAAGCTTGCACGGAGGAACACTGAGTGTTTGGAATGACGTGAAGCACATCATCGAGGCTCCAGAACTGAGCGGGTTCACGAGCCTTCGCATCCTGTGCAATGTGACTGTCTTTGTGCGCCCTTATTTCTCGACTGATCAGACGTCGTAGCGAACACATCATGTCCGTCATGTGCGGAGGTCAGGAGTCCTTCCTGCATGTGAGTGTCGCAGTTGGGCTCAAGAAACATTTTTCCTGGCTGTCTATACATTCAAATGGCGACTTCAGATGAACCCGCGGATGGCGACAAGAGCGATCAGGTTGTGAAACATTGGCTCAAGGATCTCCATGTCGAACAATCAGGGCCTTATTCAATTCGACGTCCCTCAGCCCCGCGAGAAGTACGAGTGCTTGGCCGAGAATCCGTTCACGGTAGGGTTTGCATAACCTAAGTGACTCTGCAGTAAGGGAGACAAACCGACCGAATCTGTCAGAACAGGGTGGCGATTAGCCCCTTGAAGCCCAACGGGCACCACGATGAACGAAGCACCCGACAGCCGCAGGAATACCGCAAATCCTTGGAGCGGATGACTGCCGTCGACGGACCTTTTCCTCTTGCAGAGGAGGATGTGCAGCATTATGGTACCTCCCAGCAGCATGCCAGCAAGGCACAAGTATACCCAATCTTGCACATTGTTGGATGTCAGATGATGTCAGTGGTTAGCTCTGCCGTTAAGGAGTTGCTGCACAGACTAGGTGCGCGCTAAGAGACATCATGTGGCACAGACCACTGCAGGGGCTCTCGACACGCGACTTGAGATCTTAGGCGATATCGGTGCTGGCAGAAGGGGCCCAATAGCCCCGTGGCTGGAACAGTCGTGGTAAGCCCAACATCTCCAGTTCAGGGCAGGGGGTGTGATTTGGATTTGCTGATGGTTGCTCTTACTTCGTGGTCTGTTTGTGATTGAGCCCACGACGCCGATTTCTGGTGCCGGCAAACCGCTTATTATTTGATCGTGATCTTGCGGGGCGCGGTTCTAGGCCTGGGGGCTGCATTCGCTTGACGGGGTACTTTCGTGGTTGCGGACCAACCTGCAAGGAGGGACAGCTTGGCGACAAGCCACAAGAAACACATGTGCACATTGGAAGCTGATTTGTCGTCGAGCGTCCGGGTTCTGAGAGTGCAACATGTCTTCACATAGCTTCGGAGGACTCGAATGCCGAACGTCGTACATCAGCATTTTGCATCGACGAGAGTGTGGTACATGCGCTTGCATGGCACTCGCGTCAGACAGGGGGAAAAGTCGGCTCCATGCAGAAAGAGCACCGCAATTCATGCGACTAGTGCAAGGCAGAACGACTCTGTCGGGCATTACTCTTTTGACTTGCTTGAGAGGTTGTCAGCACGTGCCGACAGATTGGCAACGAAGACATCCCACCTAATTAGTTTTGCTAGGAAATCTAAGAGTACATGAAACTGTGCACAAGTAAAAGGCTTTCAGCAATGACAGAAGATGTAAAGGTCAGCCTGATGTCCGAAGGCAGCCCAGTTACGGCACAGGGTCCTAATCCGGAAGTGCTGTGTCACACAGCGATGCACGCCCCCTGAGACAATGCAAAACCGGACGGTGGGACAACGAGGCACGACTACAACTTGAATCAACTGATCAGTTCCCTGAGCTGGCTGAACGGAAAAGTGCCACAAGGTCAATTGCGATGTTTTTGCTGTTTCCTGCTTTGCGAAACTTCGGTACCAAAAGGGTGTAGTTGAGTTATTTTAACTTCCGACCTGAAAAAGTCATTCCAAGGCCAAGTCGTGAATGTTTAGGAGTGGCCAGACAAGCCAAAGAGGTGGCTAGTTGGATATGTTTGGATACATAGTTGTTGTAGAACAACTGCGGTTGCCTGTCGAGCAGGGGTACGAGGATTTGGATGTGCCGGTTGCGTGGAGAATATAGGTATAGATTTGCGATTCATTTTGTGTACCGGGTCGTTGGCCTGTCGATGAGTGATAAGCTTGTGGTTTCTGTGCTGTGTCACGAGGACGAAACTGCGCCATCATCATCCGTAGGAGCAATACCGATTAGTAGTACCTGCAAAGCAGGGATTACGGTCGAATAGTGAACTATGGGAGTCGCACTTAGTGTCGTCATGTGCAACCAGGGGGCCTGTACGCACTGAACTCGTCAGCTCCACTGCAGATCCAGGAGCTTGTCGAATGCAGGACGGATTGAAATCAACGTGCGTACCTAAAGAACAAACAATGGGCGGGCGCAGACACAGACACACACACACACACACTGACTGATTGGAGTGTTCTATTTGCTGCAGGATCTTGAAATTCTTGCAGAAAATACCGCTGACCTTGTTCGTCGTTACGTCGTCATGGGCAGTGGTCCTGGCCTGTGGACTGGAAAGTGGGATCCAATACTCTTGTGGATACCAGCTGCTTCAACGTGCCCAGATACTCCACCATACCGCTTTCGCAGGTACGTTTGCACTTCGGTGGCGTCTGGTCTTCGTTGGCCAGGACGGACACTCACAGATTCCTGGCCCCTGCACACGCAATGCAAACTCACACACGCTGACTTGACGCAATGGTCGCCTGTAGCACAACACTCGCCCAGGCAATGACAATGCAAGCACATGGTTGCAGTAGGCGCTGGGATCCTGTGTCCGTTGCCCATATCATAGCAGAACGCTGCCTTGTGATCTTAAAGGTTCAATGGAAGAGCTGGCCTTAGGGCCAATGTCCTATGAGCAATTATCATCTGACAGCACCTGACAGGTAACTGGCAGGTGCAAGATGAAACGTGCCAAAAAGGACACTGCAGGACAAAAGGGTACGAAGCATGGCAAGGAACCCACGGGTCACGACCGAAATCGAGGGGGCCCTAAGGTTTCAACCGTCTAATCTCCGCACGCGCGGCACGCTGCTGCGCTGGGGTAGGATAACCATGTCTACAACATAGCATTTTGCCGACGGCGTGGCATCTGCAGAACTTCAAGAAAGGGCACCAAGGGCGCAGAGGCTTCTCTCGGGCGTTTTTGGGCATCGAGGGCACGCTTCAACTCAGGCCGACTGGCTTTGGTCTGAATGACGGCTTCGAGGCTGTGCAGCAAGTGTTGTGCGCTATCATCTTCCGCCTTCACCGCGGCCGTTCGTTCAGCAGAGCACGGGCTGAACACTCACACTCAGCAAGGCGCATCCAGTGGCCCTTACGACGTGCGTCACCGCAGAGCACACAGTGTGGACGCTCAAGCAGGTCAATGGAGGGCTTTGTTGCGGACCTTCTCGTTATGAGCAGCAAGTTTGGCAAGGCGCCGCTTCATTTGCATGGCAGCTTGCTTGCTACCGAACGTGACTTCTCCTTCGGGACAGCCCAGCTTGAGAACCATGGGCCTCGTCGGCAGTTTGGGAGAAGCAAGACACAACTGAGGGGGTGGTACTCTGAATTTTGCACCGGCGTCGAGGAGCTTCAAGCTGCAAGCAGTGGAGGCCCCACTGCTCCAACACAACGTTGACAGAAAGAGGGTTGAGCAGGCAAACATGAACCTGCATGGCCTCAATTTGTGGCACCCATAACGGGCGCAAGCGCTTCGAATCAGGACCATCAGCCTAGAAAAGTGGGCACCTGCACAGGTACGCAAACCGGCGGGTAGCCCCTTTGAAGGTGCGAGTCAAGCTGGAAATAGACAGATCCCCACCAGCACGGACGAAGACCGTGGCACCACACGAGATGGCCGCATCACAGGCAGCGACAACCCAGGGCATAGGCCAAGGCTCGAACGTCGAGCAGGTAGACACATCATGATCAATCGTAACTTGCGACCAGTAAGCTTGAAGAGCATAATTACCAAATGTTTTTGCCCCAGTTGAAGGCATGCCATTGGTTGTGCCGGCTGAAAGCCCCAAACACATAGAATGTGGCTAGACAACTTAGGAACGTGCTTCAGCAATCACACATGGGAAGTTCTTGCAACATACGCTCACGACTTGTCGCCGCAAAGGTATAGTTCACCACACGCTCAGGGAGCTCTATGGTGACTGCTTTGCCCGCTACTCTGACAAGGAGTTCTTGGCAGCTTGACTGGTCGGACCGTTTTTGCGTGAAATTCTGCAGAACTACCTGAGTTAATACGTGCATCTCCGGACCTTGGGACCCTTGAGCGCAGCGGAAGCGGCACTATGCACTCGAGGTTTACGAAGGTGAGCGCTTCACCTTCAGCCAGCTGCATGGCATCCACAGTACTTGTACCCGTCTTTCAACCAACTACCCTCGCATAAGCTTAAGCACAGCCGGTAGTGGCGCAATCTGTTGCAAATTTAGACCTATCATTGGGAATTGGCACTGCAAAACGGAGCCGGAAGTGCCATGGGTTTGGCTGATGCAAGACTGTGCAGAATGTAGCACTGCGTGATATCATGTGCTCTCCGAGGGCGATGGAAATCTCAGTTGCGCTCTCCCGAGCGCTTCGACACAACTACGGCGTGCAGCGAGGCTCAGTACAATGTCCACCCGAGTGTTTAAATGCCTTCATGCGGGTACCCAACTTCACAAGCAACAGTTTAAGTGCTATCATATGCAGCTCTCACTTCGCCGAGATATCAAAGCTGTCGTTTTGTCGCGGCCACTTAGCTGAGGCATAGAGCGGAGGGAAAGACCCCAAGAATCGATTTCCACAGACAGACTCGGAGGGCCCGATTGAAGCCTTGACGGAAGACTTCTGGCAAAAGGGACCAATGGTGACAACATTTTTGAGCACTCGAGTCGAGGGCTGTAGCCTGAGATCGCAGCCCCGAGCGGCAAGGGAAGCACAGATCCAAGTTTGCTCGAAGAGACGCCATGCAGTTGCACATAGTGCAGCGAGCGCAGGATCATGCGTGGCGATTGCGGGCCGCAATTTTCCGGAATGGGTTTTCACCTTCGTGGCCGTTACCAGTCACCTTGGTGCCCTGTGACTTTGGCAGTAGGCTGCAGTAAGTCAGGACGCTGCAGTTCATGTTTGAAAGTGCAGGTCGTGGTTTCGCCAGGCATTTTCAAGCTTGCACTTGTTACGAGGGAGAACAATAGGTCGTTATGCGCCAGCGGTTAGCTCTCATGTTTGCTTCGGTTGTTTGTTTCAGGTGCTGTTGCTTTGCCGGTCAATGCATGGTGGACTGGCAACGAGCTCAAGAGCCACGGCAGCAGATCGATGTGCTGCCAGTGCCCGCATAGAGTGGTCTGGCCGTTCAACTAGCATAAACTGGAACTCGATGCCGAGCGAACTGACAGTGTTTCTTTACTTACTTGCACTAGTCGCTAGTCACTAGTGATGAAGCAGGACCAATCAGAGTGCGGTCAACCGGCGTTGCCTTACCCCGTGGCCGTCCCCAGCAAAAATAAAACGAGCAAAACAGGTCGAAAATCAAAGTAGGCCTGGAAGCGCTCAAGGACGGCGAAAGCACGCAGCCGAGAATGTGATATCAGCTGATTCTTCTTCCTGTGCTAACCAGCGAAGGCGAGACAAGCAACAAATACTAACCGGCTGAGAAGCACGTAGCAGATGCAGTCAGCTTTGCACTGTGAACTGCACCTCCACATGAGCGACGAATTTCATTGTAAGCCATATCAGAAGGGTGAAGTAACGAAAGCATGCGATATCCACGCAGATGTCGCCAGACACACACGAGAATAACGCAAAAAATATTCTGCAGGGGAGGCAGGAATTTGGCAGGAATGATTTTGAGCGATCATCCCAGCATATCCCGAGCGACGCGAGGTGTAAGAATAGAGCAGGTGTGGGATGAGAACTTGGTTGGGCATATCAAGCAACAGCACCCCTGCAGAGATGCGGAGGTATGGTTTGGAGGACTCGCAGAGCTGCTTGCTTGTGGCTGACATGGAGCGACTGGAGCGCGCCCCGTTCATTTCCAGCATGGGCCCCTTGTCTAGCTCTGAGAAGCAGATGCTTTTCTAGCATGTCGAAGCAAGTAAGATATTGTCATAAATTCTGGCTTGGGTTATGAAAGCCTACAAGACACGTTGCATTTCATGTCGGAAGGCCTGAAGTCGTGCTGTATCCGCCCGGTGAATGGAAGGTAGAAGCAGAAGCAATGTCGAAAGCGGCGGGATCTGCAAAATCCATACCCCAGCAGTAGAAAGCAGAGCTATACCATCAGTCATCAGACTGAGCTGTTTTCATCAAGGAATACCAGCCGTGTGCATGCGTGCTGGATCCACGGTGCCACCGTATGGTGCTGAACGCTTTGAAGAGGCAGGCAGGTTTGTGGCCGAACCGATTTATTCGCCTGCCACCCCCTGTATGACACGATACAACAACACAGTTGCCGAGGCTTCTGTCGATCTTTGCGTCAATCCGGCAGCCTTAGCCCTGTTGACACTGACCAGTCTGACCAGTGCCCATATCCCTGGCGAGGTCGTTATCGCGGGCCAGAAACTGCAACCACTGAACACTGCGGCCTTGACACAAGATGACACTGGTGCAGCAATGCGGCCAAACTGTGTGATTGTTTAGGCGGCGAGTTGCACGAGTTGTGGCTCTTGCCACATGGACTTGGCCAAGGATCGAGCGATGCTCATGTACACCTCTGGAACGACCGGCATGCCGTCACTGGGCTTTGCAATGCAGACAACCATCAGAAATATTCACAAGCACACATATTGAGCGTGCGGCTTGGTTCGAGTCTACAAGAATGGAAAACATGGCACGTGACCCAGAAACGTGTGACGGTGGGTTCCTTGTGCATCCTCGCGGCTGCCAGCAAACCCCCCTCATATAGTCTACAGCTGGTTCATGCCAGTTCTGTCTGAAAGCTCCACCCTCGCAATACCTTGCTATGTTCATCACAGCCGCTAGCTGCTGACAGGGCTTGCCGAATTCGTTTATCTTCCGTCCACACGCATCCAGAGGCATCACGCAGAGCTGGCAAGTAAGTGAAGGTTGCAGTGAGCTGCAGTTGGCAACCAGCTTGTGTGCTGCCTCGCAGTGTGTCATGCGTGCCTCTGTGACTTCTAGATGCGGCAGTTGGCTGAGGAAGGGAGTAGTTTCCACGCACCGCAACATCTGCTCAGCGCTGAACACATTGCGAGTCCTGACTGTCAGCATGAGAGAGCTTGCGTCACTGCCAGCTGCAGTTCACATTGATTGGATGGAAGTTCAGGAGCACAACTTCAAGCAATTAGAGGTACGATCGACTGAGATGCCTGCAGATCGAATGTACATGGCTCCAGCAGTCAAGCACATCTATGCAGCGATACACACTGCTTGGTAAGGAATGTACTTCGTTCACGAGCAGCCATTGCGGCAACTGGTCGTCATTCTCGCTGTTCCGCTCTTTCATGTGAGCCTTAGCTGTCATGGTCACAGGTGCAGTTTGGCGAACTTTGTTCGAGGCAGCATCCTTGTCCGCTCGGTTCATGACTCCGCAGACACGGTGTTTTTCCTTTTCCTTTGCTGCAACATGCCACAACCATCAGCACCCCGCACATTTCGGTGGCGTGCGTACACCCAGGACCGGCTCTCACATTGCAATGCTGGCTGCGATTTGCCGAGGTCACGGCTTGAGTTTAGATTAGATATAGCCTTCCAGAGAAAGAGAGCTGTGACGAGGCAGGACTGACCACTTCGCCATTCAAGAGCCCAGCAGTGGCTTCTAGCTCTTGTGGATTCTTGTTGGAAAGATGCTCTAAATAGCTCTAGCTGAACTTGTCTCGTCGTTCGTGCTCGAGCTTGGGTACTCACTTCAAAAGGTAGAGATTCTGCTGCGAGGGAGCGGCAATCCACTGCACAGGGGACCGGCTCATTCTCATGTACAAATGGAATGCCACCCGAGCTTTGCAGCTCATCCAAGAAGAGAAGGCGCCCGGAGTTTCTTTGGATTGCCGAACAGCCAGCTTGAACTTGATGCAAGTGGTCGTCTTTTCGGGCGTATATCACGAATTCATGTCGCAATTTGTCACACATCCCACGCAGATTCCCCGGTGACAGGTCAACAGCATCGTTGGGGTGCCGACGAATACCTACGAGCTGGTGTCTCGGCTGTGGCGGAAAAGAGCCTTTTTTGCTGGGGGGGCCGAGTTATGCGCCGAGCTGTGCTACAGAGAGAAAGGCGAGTTGGAGATGTTGGAAGATTTGTTCACAGACGCTGCCCTGTTGACTGCCCGCCCACATTTCCTCACTGCTCGGCTCGAAAGCATCCCGCATGCTGATTAAAGACGCCGCTCGATCAGATCAAAATTCAGATGGAGTACTATGATGTGCTGGATAGAGATGTTGCGGCTGCTGAAAATGCTGTGCGGTGGAAGCAGGGATGCTTTTGTGCTCAAACAGCTTGAAGTCCAGGTTCATCTGATTACAAAGATCTGGTTTTGTTCCAGAGTCATGCTTTCGCCCTGCATCGCCAGTGGAAGCAGAAGGAAGAGTGAGAGTGAGATGTTTGCAGAGAGAGTCGCCGTTCCAACTCAAGGCTGTCCCTCGGCTGTTGTGCAGGTCAGAACGCATTCGCCAGGGACGTTCCTGAATATTCCTCGCAGAACAGCATCCGAGTAACAATCCAAATGTTCTGTACGTGGGGCGGTTTGACCTAGCGAAGGAGCGAATGCTGCCAAACCACGGTTGAAAAGCTGAAAAAGCCAAGACACGGTTGTGCCAGCTGTTCTTTCCAGCGCTTCTTATGCATAACTTGTGCATACCATCGCTCGCCACTGGAGTGTCCAGCATCGCCTTGCATGCCTAAATACTGCATCAGAGGCCTCGATTGGTGCTCCCGTGCTGCCGCTAAGCCTTTTGCGCACTCGACGTCCTTGCAAGGCTCTGAGCATGCATTCAGGCGAAGACACTGTAACTTCAGTACTTGTTGCACATGGACAATGCGGCGGGATGATTCTCCAAGCTTCATCCTTTCCGAAGTGCAGACATTCCGTTTATGTCGAGCCACCTGCTCCGCTGAAGACGTCATTCAGCAATGCACCTGGACTGTTCCGTTAACTTATTTTCGCAAAACTCTACGTCTAAGTTCTTCCGACTCGTATGTCATCGCTACGAAGTATCCCCAACCGCTGCAGAGTTCTGCCTCTGCAAGGCACACCGTCTACTGACTCGACATGTTCTCTCCACTTGGGCATGGTACTCTCCGCTCTCGGAAGAATTTTGAGAAGCGGGTGGATGTAATGCAACTCGCGTTCTTCAACTACTTTGGTTTGTCAGACTGTGCATGTGCGTATACCATCGTATGCCGTCGTCTATGACCACGTCCAAAGCACATGCTTTGTATCGAATGCTTCTCGCCATCCCACTCCGACAAAGGGATGGGCACTGCTGTGCAGAATGTGTCACTGGCTTTGCTCGAGGCACGTCTTACGACAACACCTCCCATATCGCAGCTTCTGGGCTCGCTGGGACGAGTCCAATTTATGTTACCACTTGCATGGTCCAGGTCTACGGTATGCATTTGGCTAGCCAACGTTTTCTGGTGGCTCGGATGTGCACCTCCGGACTCGGACATCAGCGTCACCTTGGACGACCATGAACATGCCAACTACAGCGACAATCCGCGACATAGCATGAACAGTATGCATCATAGATATCATGGCCGATTACTCTAACGAGAGGGGCCTGTGCGGAATGATGCGGAATGCAAACGTTGGATGTCATGGCAAGCTGCACTTCTCCTTGGTCGTGCTTTTGTGTCTTGGGTGTATGGGGTGGCGAGGGTGGAGCGACTGTCGTGCATATGTCTTGGCCGAGAGCACGAGTGACAAGCATGTCACGGCATCTCCTCATGGCCTTGCGACAATTAAACGCCTCAAGTTGTCGAAAGCGTATCGCTCTTTCCATCTCAATCATGGCCTCGGGCCTCGTTTTTCGCGATTGATATGTAAGCAGGGATCAGAATTTGTTGTGTACGCCCCCGACACTGTTAAATTCATTTTTTTTTCATGGTTCGACGCTGGAGGGTGCACGAGAGGGAGGGGGGCGTACTGGGTCTTTACGAGAAGCACCGATACCATAATTAGTTGCAATATCCGTATTCATGTGACTTTGATGTTCTGGATTTGCAGACCGCCGGAGCAGATGTCGTGGTTGCCGACGCCCATCATGTTCCGGACATGCATTCCGGCCGCTGTCGACATGACCAAGTCGAGATGAATGGGTGAGTTTGCAAGTCTCGGTGGTATCACTTGTCTGTGCATCACATGCTGGACGTGCGTGCAACAGGTGTAGTTACTGGATGTTCCTGGGGCTTTATGTTTATCCGGACTGAGGTCAATCATCCTGACTTCAAGAAGTTCGATACATCATCGATGACGAACGTCGGTGGTGGCGGTGCTGCTTTTGCTGCGCCGATGATCAAACGTGTCCGTCAAACCTTCGAGAAAGCCCGCAGTCTGCGATTACTGACACTTGCAGCAGGAAAAATACTGGAATGTGTGCAAGAGGCGGTGACAGACATGCAGGTCCTCCCAAACCGACAGTCGTGCCAAGGCTAAAGCTGGCACTGGCTATGGCCTGACCGAAACTCGTACAGCATGTCAAGGTCAGCATGAATGTTTGGTTTGGTTGCCGCAGCCGCAAGTATCGTCCGAGGAGACGAATGCAGTCAGCGTCATCATGCCCGCAGTCCTTTTCCCTGAACGTCCAACATCTTGTGGGCTTCCAGTGGTCAACGTCGATGAGCCCCGGCGTTGACAAAGTGACTTTGCGTCTCCGGCCGAATCGCACCATCCCAACGTGTCGAGAGCCCTGAGCGTGAAAGCTGCGACCTGTCCCCGCAGAAGATTCAGCTAAAGCTAACGCGCGAGGTTTAGAGTGCATTTGGCACATGAGGCAGTTGTTTGGCCCGGCAAGGTTTGCATTTTGGGCGAGGGCGATGCCAAAATGCCCCCAGGAGGAGTCGGCGAGATTTGTTTCTTGGTTGCATTTCGGGCCGGTTCCGAGAAACTGTGCCGACCTGACCTCGCTTCGGACCCAGCTTGCCTGTGCTGTAGCATGTTCAGCATCTTTGAAGTTCTGGGTGCTGTCCAGGCTTACGGGGGCCAGCCATCATGCAAGAATACTGGAGAAAACCTGCGACCCAGCTGCGACATGAGCAGCAGGTACTCAAGACTTCGAGTTCAGATCTAGGTAGTCGAGCGAGCAGGGTGCCGGCGATACACTGTCGTGCCAGGCTTTTGCAAGCTGGTTCTGAGAGACACGTCCACAGTGCACCAGACATCATTTCTTCACACCAAGATCGGATGCCAGAACTGCTGTCTCCGGGCACTGAAGCTCAGGACCGAACGGCTGAAGCTTTCCATGTGGATGAACATGGAGAGCTTTGGTTCCGAACTGGTGACATTGGAGCTGTGGATGAGGATGACTTCGTGTCCCTTGGTTTTTGACCCAGTGCACGTGGTGCAGTGAGTTTTGTCGGGATGCCTTAGCCTTAGCCATCTTTGCAAGTAAAGTATTGCATGGCCAAGTGTCTGATGTCAACATGATGTCCTTGGGGGGGGGCATCCCAACGACACCTCCACAAGAGAGCAGTGGCACATTCAACTGCCTACAGGTACATCATGGACCGTGCGAAAGACATCATCATTCGAGGCTGCTGCAACCCTTGACCGCGCGATGACTAACATTCCCTTGACATTACGTTATGACTTGAGGAGGGGAGAACATCTCAGCCAATGAGGCACGGACACACCGGCTTGGCAGGGCGCGACAGTCTGCTCACATGTAGACGAACAATCCCCCGTGGCAGCGCTGGGACCAGCAGCTCCTGCATGACGACTTCGTTTTTTGAGGGTGCGATGCTAGATCCGCCCCCCGCTCACTTGCGCGGTGTAGGCCTTGCCCAAGCATTCGCACCTTGGCAAGGTGGAAACTGCACTTTACGAGCATCCTGACGTGGCAGAGGTGGCAGCTGTAGGGACGCAGCCTTAATGCACACTCCTGCGATCGTACAGAAGACATGTGAACGAAGATTTCGGGTTGACTTCTGCCACGTCTTTTTGTGCTAAGGATGCCCGACGATGCGCTGGGAGAGACTGTAGCCGCGGCCATTGTTTTCCGGTCTCTCGGCGAGGGATGCACAAAGCCCTTCCTTCGATTGAGATGTCTGGAACTTGTTCGGACTCCATTTCTTTTGCCACAGATACGACTCACGTGCTGCATCGGCTTGGTTCATGCAGTCAGAGCTGAGGAAAGGCAAGATGCCACCCAAGGAGGACAGCTGCATATCACAGACACGATTTGGAGCGAAGACTTCCTGTTATTCCCCGAACGGCCAAGCACCAGGAAATGCTAGCCCGCATGGTGAAAACTGCAGAAAGGATGAGCTTCGTGCCTTCGCGGCTCAGCGGCTGCCACGCCACATGGTTCCAAAGGACTCGCATGCTTGCGAGCATGTGGCCTTCTGTGAATATTCACGCAGCTGGTGCGTCCTTCCTGCCTCCTTGTGTTCAGTACAAGCCACGAACCTCCCGCGAAGGAGTTCTTCTCTTGGCCGGGCGAAGCTCTTCCGAGAGGAGCACTCATGAGATCGGTTACGGCTACATCGCCTCAGTACTGTATGCAGCTAGCTAGACCTTGCAAATGAATGAAGAGATCCTCCTGAAGACACTGCACAGTTGAACATGGTCCACTCCGAGCTACGTCTAACATCGACGAGTGGGGCCACAACGGCCTTGGAAGTTTACTTTCGTGCGATAGTTGCAACATCCTGAACTGACATGCAGTAACATGCAGATGCTCAAACCCCTTTCACCATTTCTCGAAACTGCTGTTGCGGGGTGTTGCGCGCAGGTTTTTCTGTGGGAGCATCATCCAAACCGCACTATTGTGAGACAGCATCCCTGAGCTATTCACCCCAGCTTGCAGGAGCCACCGAGAAGATCCAGAAGCGCGCAATTCGGGCTGACCTTGCGAAGCTGCGGAAGGGCCCTGATACATCCAGCAAGCTCTAACGACTTGTGACTTGTACATATGCTGTCATGAGGCTATTCTAGAATGCTATGCAGCACATGCTGGAAATGCAAAATCAGTTGCATCGGAAAAGCAACGTCATCCGCCGCGCATCTATCCTTACTTACGGGTGGTAAACAGTTCGCACAATCCTGTCCTGCCAAACAGTGCTTGCCAGCGGAGCAGGCTGCGGCTGCCAAAGCAAGCGATGGGCGACCTTGCGCGACAATGAACGGAAAGGCATTCGTGTCCTGCTCTCAAGATGAGAAGTTACAGCTTTGCTGTCGCCAGGGTGGTGCTGGATCCTGCGTGAAGATTCTCAGCAGCATTGGCCCTTCAGGTGCTACCACAATCGTGGATAATCGCGGGGGAAGCTTGTGCCTTGCTTGTCTGATTCGCCACAAATTAGACGAAAACACGGACTGCTTTTGGATTGGCTCAGGATGTTCCACAATGCAGGCACGGAAAGGATAAGCGTGGGTTCATTTCGCTCGCCTCCCGTCTTTTGTGGTGGTACCTTTGTCGGATATGTTGACAGGTAGTGGGGAGATGCACGTCTTGATCACCATGGGATGGGAGTGACAGTGTGTGAGCTTGAGTATGTGTGACTATGCGGGAGCCGCAAGAAAGAAGGGAACGGTATGTGTCACGGATTTTTAGAATTGTTTAGATGTTGTTTTCGGGTCTCCATGGCCTTTTTGCTGCTTCAGGTCCTGTCGGCTTCTGCTTTCTGGGCTCCTGTTGTCTTGGATTTCGGCGGCCTCCGAGCTTTTTCCTATCTTACGCAAGATCGGCTGAGTGCTTGGAGGTTAAGGAAACTTGAGGTTCCGTGGGCGTTTGGGCTCAAGTGCCCGGAGCCTCCATTGTTTCTTTCGTCCAGGAGTTCCAGGGGCACTGCCACTGGTGTTTAGCGCCACCGAGATAGCTGCGGTGCGAACCACAGCCAAAGAGCGATGAGGCCTGGGATGCCCTGAAGGTCACGATTGGAGGGGGCCAGCCGTGTAGGTTGCTGCGGTCTAATCCTGCGCGGCCACTCACGCGGCAATCCGGGCCTCGCGCATGCCCGCTGCGACCACTACTGCTCCCAAGGCTGCCCGCGAGATTCGCCTCCTTGAGCTGCCGCAACTGAGGCTGGAGAGCGGCGAGGCTGAAGCTGGGTCTACCATGGTCTACCCGACTTGGACCCCGACCCCTTTACCTCCACGCCGCAGCTCTTTGCTGCAAGTTCGGGTGCCCCGCCAGGTCCACCGGCCACGGAAGGGCCCCAACCGACAGCGCCAGGAAGGTGAAGATGAGTACGACTATGTGGGGAGCACATGGATAATTTTGGGGCGAGCACACTAAAACCAACACAGCTATTCCTCAAGACCCACCTGAAGCGACCAGACTTCGTTTCAGAGGGATACTGTCCCACGACGACAAAGGCTACTACCTTGGACCACTGCCGTTTAGGACACCCGCGGCTTTGCCAACCTCACAGCTGCCGGCTACACCGGCTGGCGACGCCTGGCCTCCAAAACTCTGTGAATGGCAAGCACAGCAAACGTTGGCACCTGCACCACTGTTGCTACGCTGCCTCTCAGGATAGGGGGGAGGTGATGCAGCCTGCATCCGACTTGGACTACATCATCAACAAGGCTGAGAGCGAGAGAGTGCGAAGGAGACCGGACCACCCCGGAAGCGCTACCAGATAGATGGGGCGAAGGACTTCCACGATGGTGGTGGGCTATGTTCCCCGGGCCGACGGCCTAGGGCCACACGAGGCGGTTTTTGGAAGTGGCTAAGGGACTTCGCAAGACGATGCTGGCTAGAATTGGCTCGGAGGATGAGCTAGAGCAGGAAGCTTTTCGCATGGCGCTGGATGGCGAGAATGGGTACAACCTGGTCAGGGACATCGATCTGAACCAGGAGATCCTCGAGCTACTCAAGGAGTGGTTCGAGGGCCAGGATAAGAGCGAGCCCGGGATACTGGATGTGTCACCGGGCCAAGCTCTATGTCTCAGGCTACTTCGGGCGATCCTCGAGGCGATCCCGATAGAGAGTTCTTTCGGCGAGCTGAAAAAAGACTACCCTTTTCATCATACTGGAGCTGCTACCGAGGACACCCCACGTGTTCGAGGAGCAAACTTCCTGCAGGCTAGAGGATCTCCCGTTGGAATCGGGGCAAGCATGGGTTCCCACCTTCAACTACTCCTCGATCGGCGAGCAGTTTGTTCGGGCGAAGTTCGAGGAGGACGTGGAGGAGGGCCTGAAGGCGAGATTTGGGGAAGACAGAGTGATCGCCGCCCTGGCCGTCATCGTCGAGGAGAAGGATCAGAAGCTGGATAATCCATGACGCGACCGACGGCGTCAAGGTGAACAACCGGATAAAGTGCCATGATAAGCTACGAGCGCTAGGGAGAAGGAGCAGATCCTTCGAGAGTTAAAGGAGGCCGAAGAGGAGGCCTTTTCGGTGGGCGGGGACATCTCCAAGGCCCACCGGCGCTACAAGCGCCAGGCTCGTGAGCATGGCTACGTGGGGTGCCAAATCGATGAGACGGAGACGATCCCGGACGACCCGGATAGCCAGATCGTCCACGTGAACAAGGTGGGCATTTTCGGGCCATCACCCGCGAGCTACTGGTGGACCAGGGTAGCCGCATGCGGCCACCTGGTGGGTCCGGATTACCCCTTGGAGCTACTCTTGTATGCCGATGACCTCGAGGCCCTCGGGATAGGCGCGAAGGGCAGACAGGGGATACCGACACATCCGATTCTTATATGCGGAAGGAAATAATAGTATAAGAATATCGAAATAGATACGTGTGAGACAAAACGTTTTCAAACAACGCCGTTTGTACGGCAGGGATATCAGTGGCCTATGCAACAATGCATGGTGTTGTTTTATGCTGACGAACAAACCTGTTGCGAGGGTTTGGAGCGTCTCGGAATTCGAAAGCCATGATGAAACCCTCTTAACATGTACAACGTTTGACGCAAAACGTCCTTCCCGCACGAAGGCTTTGTAGTGTGCTTGCGAAAATGGGGGAGCATGAACACCCCTCAGTTTCATCAGGCTAGCCCAAGCCTGGTTGCAAAAAGGGACAGGACACCCTTGACAGTGTCGGTCCAACGGGGTGCTTAAGAGAGAGCAATGCTGCAGGAGAAGCGAGGTGTTTTCGAACGGTTGCAGGCAAGTGCTCCCAGAAGTCTTCCTGGTTATCCGTGCGTCCCTGTGTTTGTTGTGTGTGTCCTTGTTTTCGCTGGCCGGTTGCCCAGCATGTACTTCGCATGCGCAGGTAATAGTGGTCGAACTCTGCCTTTGGCATTGCACATTGCTTTGCGTGTCTGTCTAGTTGGTGAAGACATGTGAAGACAAGACATCACCTACAGGTAGCAGAAGTAGTGTGATAAGCCTTGGCTACATGTAACGTTTCCAGTCCCGCGCACCGGACAGGCGAGTATGCGGTTTTGCAAATTTGGGGCGAAGTGCATGAGGCAGGGAGCACCATTTTTGCACAACCAGCTGTGAATGATGAAGCTGAAGGCTTTTGCGGCAAAACCAGCGTGAGCACTTTTCCTGTACGTGCTCGAGCGGCCATCGGATAACGTACGAACAACTACGACGGAACTGCCTATTAACCCTGCCATATGATGTTTGTTCTGCCTAGTTAATACACATGACGACGCAGCATCCGCGGCGCAGTGGCTGCCATTTCTTGTCAAGGGGCAGCTGTTGCTGTCGTGTTGATATTGACATCTAACTGAAGCGAGGCACTTTGCATGTAGCATGGCAGCTAACCGGTGGATTCGCTCCACGTCTGCTTGCATAACGGCCCAATCCACCCTTGCACTGTGCTGCGCTGCAGGTCTTGAGAGCCTATGGAGTCGACCCCGACACCCAGGCCAAACTCTTAGAGCCGCGAACTTATTGTGACAAAGTCAATGCAAACTCACATGCCCTGCGTGCTTAATTATCAACTGTATCGACTGCAACTTTTAGCAAGGAGGATGGAACAGAGTCAGAGAGTACATCGTGTGGACCTGCATCACGTTCGAAAGTGCGCTCGAACGTGCGCTGCCACTCCGGAAAAAGCTGTGCCCAGAGCAGGGGGCTGCAAAGCAGACCCACCAAAGGGCCGACAAAGCCTCTCCGCATAGTAGAAGTTCACTCCAATCCGCTAGAGCAGGGAGCATCAGGTCAGGTCAATGCAGCAGATACGAAATTATTGTTGAAAAGATGCACATGCAATTGTGCTTCGCAATTGCTTCGCAACATCGCCAGCCAAGGCAAGCTTGTACTAGGTTCCACTTATCAGGCCCGCAACTCTAGCAGCCCGGGTACCTGAAGTGTAAATTAAATTTGAATCTCTGCTATGCCACACTATGCCGGTGACGATGCAGACTGAAACGGGCAAGAGCCCAGTCAAACACGCAAGCCGCTTGCCAGATGCACAGCAGAATTCTGCTGCTTTCTGTAGGGCTGACACCGGTTGAAGCGTGATGTTCTCAAGAACTTGTAACGGTCTTCTGGGAACCAGACTGCCTGTCACGGGGTTTTGTCGTAGACTCCTCAGCAGTGGCACGTTCGCCAACACGCCCGTGCCATGCTGAAAGCGCTCGCCAGCGGACTCGACACAACGAACACTCTGCTCCAAATCTCGAGCTCAGAAATAATCAGCAACAGAGCACGGAGGCGACAACACTGGTACCAATTTCGGACAGACGGGAGGCCACCCGGAGCCGACTGTACTACATTGCTACCTTGTGTTGAGCATTTGTCGTCACACTTACCAACCTGCATGCCGTGGCAAAGAGGAGCAATTTCGTTGCTTGCATTGCTTCGTCCGAAGCAAACCTTCTAAAGCGCAAGCTGGGCTTGGGCAAAATATGGAAAAAAAACCAAGCATGCAGAGACATCGAACTTCGTGCAGTTGCAGACTGTACTGAAGTTTCGGCTTCGGCAGCCTGCGGATTTTTGCCATCCGAGGTCCTGGAAGACCAAGGTGGGTGGTCGCTATGCCGGGCCCCTAGACCAATCAATGCCGGAACCAGACCTGGGGCTGGCTGTTCCCATAGGCCCGGCGTCTCGATCGCAGTTCGCAAGCACCGCTCGCCCTGTAAGACATGTCCTACGGCCGCCATTCTCCCGGCAAGAGTAGCAGCCGGAGTAGACTGAGTAGACCCTACCCCTGCCAATGGAAGTCGGGCCACCCCGTAGTTGATGGGGCATGATGGCACTGTCACTCCGCGCTGTTCTGGACTTGCTGATGGAAGAGGTGCTCTTCGGCTCGAGATGGGGAGACCCTCCCTACTGTGATTACGCTACTGCCACTTCCTCCTCCTGCTGAAAAAAGTAAGATTTCATTCAACACTCACTTGGACATTCAAAGCTTAAGCATAGCCAACATCCAGGTGTCGTAGAAACAGAATTTTGGTTTTCTGGTTCCAGAGCATGGGAACTGTGAACAACGCATGCGTTGCGTATGTCCTACTCAACATACACTCTTGTCCGATTGAGTATCCACACAATCATGTAAGCTAGTGTATGTACATATGTATGTACATATGTATGTATGTATGTACGTACGTACGTACGTATGTATGTATGTATGTATGTATGTAATTAATGTATGTGTGCATGTGTATATGTATATAAATCTATATTATGTATATATACGCATACATAATGTATACGTTGTAATATATATATATATATGTATGTATGTATGACGCGGTCCCTGTCGCTGCCCCTGTAGCACGTTGGGAATTGGCTGGCTGCCTGAGCTGCACCTCCGCTGGATGTGGGGGACGAGACTGAGGGGCCTGAGTCGTGACCTCTCGGTGACCGAGCGACTGTGAGCACGCTGTGGATAGCTGGGTTGATGCCCTGTAGGAGACTGCTGGTTTTCTTGCAGATGCTCGGAGGTTGTTTGTTGCTCGCAAAGCTGTACTGTATGCTGGTGAAAACTGCTAGCATGGCCGTTTTATGATCGAAAGGATCCGGGTGGCTGGGATCTCAATGGTCTGCAGCTACCACTGCTGTATTCTGGTTCCCCTACACCTCGCCTGATTCGTCGAGCGCGAGTGTGTATGTATGTATGTATGTATGTATGTATGTATGTGTGTGTGTGTATGTATGTATGTGTGTGTGTGTGAGCATGTGTGTGTGTATGTATGTATGTATGTATGTATGTATGTATGTATGTATGTGTGTGTGTGTATGTATGTGCATATATATATATACATAAATATGAATATGTTATACATATATTATGTATATGTATGTGTATATTATATATCTATATACACGCACATATATCTATCTATCTATCTATCTATCTATCTCTACATATACATATACATATACATATATATATATATAGTGTTGCGCCCCGCCCCCCAGCCCCGGTTCAGTTTCCCCCCTCCCTCCCGGACATCCTTCCTTCTCCTGTGGCCCTGGTTCAGCTTGTATACAATTTTATAGGAATGACGATATATGTTTCCCCCTTCCCCCCCCCTGTGGAACGGGACATGCTTCCTTCTCCTGCGGCCCTGGGTCTGTGGTTCTTCTGCACCCATTCTCAAGCCTGAAACCCGTGTACAACTAATCATACAAAATTTTGCTTAGAACCGATCCGATCACAAATAATCATACTTGCGATTGCCTATGACGGTCTTAAAGTAACACTAATCATTCGAGTTCGCACCAAGAATCATCTAAGTATTGCCTTTAACCCTCTTACACTACTGCTAATCATATTGCGAAGTAACATAAGATATTGTAAATATTGTCTATAACCCTCTTAA